TTTTTTTTTTTTTGGCAGAACCGAGGATTGAACTCAGGCCCTTGTGCTTGCCAGGCAAGCGCTTATTCTACTGAGCCATCTCCCTGGCCCCAAGAATTCTCAAAGCAGGGCCGGCAAGATAGCTCAGCAGACTAAGGGCCTGCTTAGGCAAGCACAGGGACGGGGGTTCAATCCCAGGCACCACATGCCAATGCTGGCCCCATCCTGACACTCTGAGCTAGCCACTGAGACTGACCATAGTGGTGCATGCCTATAATCCCAGCACAGGGGAGGCTGAAAACAGGAGGATCACTACAAGTCAGATCCGTGTAGTGAGACCCTATAGATCCTATACTAAATAATAATTAAAAAAAAAAAAAAATCAAAGCATATGCTGAATAAGAAAAGGCATGCAAAAAAAGTATACACTATGTCAGAGTAACACAAACCAAGCCAATTAAGTACCAGGGCCTGTGGTGGGAATCTGATGAACTAAAAAGAAATCTGGAGGTGATGGAAATGTTCTAATTTTTGATTAGGGTAGATATGTACGTACATACCAAATCTCAAACTAAGGCCAGGCACGATGGCACATGCCCATAATCCCAGCACTCAGGAAACTGAAGCAAAGGGATCAAATCAGGAAATCCAAGACCAGCACAGGCTACTACAAATGGAGCACAAGACCAGTATACAGGGCTGGAGATATAGCTCAACAACATAAGCGCCTGCCCAATGGCAAACTCAAGCTCCCAAATTCAATCCTGGTAACACACAAACACATACAAGTATGGTATAAAGTAATCAGAAAGTTATATCCCTACTTCACTCATCACTTACAAAAGTAATTTGGGTTAAAGAGAAACACAAAAAGCAAAACTAATGTGCTAGCGCATGCTCATAATCCCAGTACTTGGGAGACTGAGGCAGGAGGATCGGTGAGAGTTTGATGCTAGCCTGGGCTACACAGTGAGTTAAAGGCTCCCTTGAACTACAGTGAGATCTTGTCTTAAAAATAAACACTAAAAAACCAAATCTAAAACTAAAAACACATTAAAAGAAAAATATGAGGGCTGGGAATATAGCTCAGTGTCAGTCACTGTTGGCAAATGTAAGGTATCAAGAAAACAAAACAAAAAAAGCAAAGGGAAGAACATTAATAGGGCTGGGGAGAGGGGCTCAGTGGCATAAGCACCTGCCTGGCAAGAGCAAGGTCTAAGTTCCATCTCTGATACCTAAATAAATAAGAAAACAGAAAAATATGAGGGCATGTTTATGATTCTGGAGAAAGATGAGTTTTATTTTTAACAAGACATTAAGGCAAATGCTATCAATAAAAAGAATATATTGTATTTATCAAATTAAAATTTTCTAGGGGCCGGGGAGATGGCTCAGTAGGATAAGCGCTTGACTGGCAAACGCAAGGATCTGAGTTCAATCCCCGGTTCCTCAAAAAAAAAAAAAAAAATCTAGACCAAAAACTCAAGAACCTATTTGGGAGATAAATCTGAAATTAGTAAATTTTTTTTAATGTATTTAGTATGGGGTCTGCAGGGTCTTACTATGCAGATCAGACTCAGTGATCTTCCTGTTTTGAGCCTCCCAAGCACTGGGATTACAGGCACGCATCACCACACGCAGTCATGAAATTACTAATTATTGAATCCAGAATTCAAACAAAACATCACAAAACAAAAAGAAAGTCTCAAAGTCATTAGGTATAATGTGCAACCCAAATGGCAACAAGAATAGGCAGATTCATACAGAAACCAAATTGGCAGAAAAAATCACTATGTGTATGTACCAACTCCCTATAATAAATGTAATTATTATGTATTGCAGACATGCACTAATAAAAATTAAATCAAATGGATGACAAATATGTAAAGATGACCCTCACCAGCAATCCAGCAAGTAGAGTAGAATTTTTCGCTCAAAAGATTGGTGCTTAATATTATCAAATGGTGCTTTGCATATGTGGAATAGAGGTACAACAAGTGGGAATACTGACTGATACAAATCCTGTAATAAGGGGCCAGGGAGATAGCTCAGTAGAATAGTCACTTGCCTGGCAAGTGCAAGGTCCTGAGTTCAATCCCCAGTACTGAAAAAAAAAAAAAAAAATCCTGTAATGTAACTACAGAGACTTTGAGACAATATAGTGAATATACACTCATTATATATCAGCAATTCTCTTGCTTTAAATCTGAAAGGAATGCTCATGCTCCAGGTATGGTGGTACATGGCTATAATTCCAGCACTCTGGGAGCCTGAGGCAGGACCGTAAGTTCACACCAGGAGGGGTTACATAAGTGTCTCAGTGAGGCTCTGCCTAAAATGAAAAAAGGGTTGGGGATGTGGTTCAGTGAGAAGACCCTGAGTTCAATGTCCAGTCCAGTAAAAAAATAAAACAAACAACAACAACAACAAAAAAAAAGAGTACGAACAACCCTACATTTCCATACATGGCATGAACAAAGATAACCACTAAAGAAATGTTTCAAGGACTAGACAGCTTAGTGGATTAAAGAACCTGTTTAGGGAGATGGGGAAATGGCTCAGTAGAATAAGGCACTTCCCTGGCAAGTGAAAGGGTCTGAGTTCAATCGCCAGTTCCGCCAAAAAAAAAAAAGCCTGCTTAGGCAGATGATGGGGTCAATGGGGCGGGGGAGGGGGGTTGTTGTATCCCCCGCCAGCCTGCCTGCTGTTGAAATAAGCCATTGAGACAGGGTGTGGTGGTGCCTGTAATTCCAGTAGTTGAGAGGCTGAAAAACAAACAGGAAGGATCACTGCAAATCCGATCTGTGTAGTGAGACCCTACAGACTCTGTACTAAATACATTAAAAAAAAAAAAAAGTTTCAAGAACTAAAAGCTTAGTAATAATTACCAAAGTGAGATGGCTAAACTTATATATATGTATATATACATATATATAACAGATGAAATAAAAAAGTAAAAGATCTCTATATGTACTAACATGGAATGGTCTCCAAAATTGCTGACAGTTTAATAATACAGAACAACATATCTGTACAAAAATAAGAAAATGTTTATATATAATGACTATCTTCATAAAACTATATACAGACACACGTAAATATAAAAGGATTTGTGAAGGTACATATGAAAGCAGTTCTGAGATGAAAGGGACAAGATTTGGGTAAGGTTATGATTAGGGTTCCTGGACAAACTTCCTCAAGGAGAATACAACCTTGCATTATTTAAGTACTGTATAAATTCATGTTTTAAAAACTTGCTGGTCTTAGATGGGCTTACAACTGTTGCTTAAGAAACCTCTTTCCACAGCCACTGCATGGTTGCTGTGCTCTGCTCTAAAGACTTCCTCAGAGAACAGTCTGAGAAAGCCCTGCCACCTCTGGTCTAGAATACCATAACAATTTGCAATAAGCATCAATGCCTTTTAAAATTTTCTGTCTGTAAACCTTCTAGTCTTTCTTAAGTACCTCTCAGTCCAAGATGCTCTTGATTCCATTAAACCTGTTTAAATTTTTTCACAGTAATTGTCGCTATCTGGACTTATCTATTCACTTGTTAAATTTATAGTCTAGTTCCCACTAGACTGGGAATGACAATTTTGAACTTGTATGCTTTGAATTGAGCCATTTAGGGTTTTTTTTTTGTCGTTGCTGTTTTCTTACATTACCGAAGACACATTTTATTTACTTACCTTAGTTGGAAAAGGAAATTTGGAAGGTTCTGTTTTGCAAGGTGTATGAATAGCCGTTAGAGGGGGAGGCCATGAGTGCGTCATCTCCTGAAATGTAATTATTACAGTTTGTTTTCAACCAGGTCAAGGATTAAAAACTATACACCTAAAAACCAGATTTGTACTTAAAATACTGGTTTCTTGACTGCTCTACCAAAATTTTATTTACTAAATAAGTATTAATAGAGTACAACTGGGTGCAAGGCACTATGGGGCTGGTAAAAAAGAAGGTAAATAATAAATACTTCCTGGCTTCAAGGAGTTCACAGTTAGGATGATAAAATCTATTAATAGTGACAGTAATTATATTAATTAATAGTGCCTGTAATCAAATACAAGGCACATAATAAAACACTAGTGAGGCATTAGCTGGAAAGCTGGGGGAAAGGGATGAGGAAACAGCTCGCACTTACTGTGTACCTTCAATGACCCAGACAGTGTGCCAGTGTTTTACATGTCTGCTGCTCATTTAGTACTCACATACCATTAGGATACTGACACCATTACTATCCTAGTTCTATTTAAGATGAAAATGAAGTATAAAGGTTCAATAATTTATTCAAAGTTACACAAGTATTATATAACAAACACAAAATTTTATCTTAGAAAGACTATATATAAAGCACATCTGCTAATAGAAAAATTTGGCCAACAGAAAAATCTGGCCAGGTAAGAAAATCGGAAGGGAGATTTTAAAAGTGCACAAGGAGGAAAACAAGACAAGCAAGACAGTAACTCTGATTTCATTTAATGCTGTCTAATCATGCCAAATATGGCCAAAGGAGGTTTACATAAGATTACTGCATGGGTCCAGTGATACAGCTCAGCAGCACAGCACCTGCCTAGCAAGCACAAGGTCCTGAGTTAAGATTCCCAGTAACCCTCCCCCACAAAAAAATATCACTGCACGTCAGAAGAGTAGCAGAGAGAGGAGCATCAGACTTAGAATATGGAGGAGGTGTTTTATTTCTGGCATTTAGTTCACAGTAAGCCTTCAGGGAAATTAAAGATACTCTAATGCCTAGGAATTTATCCTCCTGCAATAACTACAGTTATGTAAATACACACAATTCAGGGGCTCACATTTTAAAAATAGAAATAACCTTGGTATCTAAACTAATTAAATTAAGAGACATTCATACAATGGAACACCAAGCAGACATTAAAATGAGAAGTTTAACTTCTGAAATGAAATGATGTTCAGAGTGTATTGCGAGGTGATAATTACAAATTATAATTACTAATGTTTACATATCAAAATATCTCTAGAAGGACAACAAACACTGTATTTCCTTTGGACACTATAACAAAAGAAAGGAGAGACCAGGGCACTTGACATAGCATGTTTTAGTACCTCCTAAAACAGCCACATGTTCTTTACCCTCTTACAATGCTCTTATTATTTCCTACATTGTCAAGAACCTCCCTCAAAGTGTGCAACTGTCATTATTAGCACCGTATCCCCAGGGCTCAGCACATAATTAATTAGCATGCTTTGAATAAATAAATGTTTTCAATAAAAAATTTAACTTTTTCTTACATTGATAATGGGGTTCTCGAAACTGTATGACTACAAATCATAAAAATAAAAAACATGAAGGGAATATGGATCTGAAGTTTCTTGCAAAAGGGAAAAGAAAAAAAAAAAAAAAGAACTTCATGTACCCCAAGGCTTTAGCATTGGTATTTTTCTATCTCAAATAATAAAATACTCTCTCCCAACTGAAAATCTATTTTAATTTCCTATTATCAAGTGATTGAGCAGTGAACGTACTCAAAACTGTGTGCCAAGTTTTGCATATATAGAATACAAAATAGCCAGGGAGATAACTCAGCAGCATAAGTGCCTGCCTAGCAAGCACGAGGTCCTGAGTTTGATTGCCAGTACAAAAAATAAAATAAAATGTGAAATAAATGATCAGCAATATCAAAAAGATAATTAAATACAAGAAAACCTTTCAGGTAATAAAATCCCATGTATTACTGAGAATTTAGGAGGAAAAACATAATGCTCCTATAGTTTTTATGTATGTAACACCTAAAAACTGTTATGATTTACTATAATCTAATATAGGCGGAAGGTTACATTGGGATTTTTTT